TCTTTTTCCTTTCTTCATATTGTAATTGGGGTATTGTGGATCGGCTAAGTGTAGCATCCTCGGGTTGGTTAGTGTGTTGTGAGAAGCTTTGTTGTAAAGCTGAGAGGCTCTCTACCCGCAAGGTAGAGATGCATAACTCTTCCTAGAGAGAATAGAGTTGGAGTGGCTCAAGGGTAGACTAAGAGAGTTTCCCTTGTAATCATTCAAAGGCTTTTTAGTGGAGTTGTTCAAATTCCTCCGAGGGAGATCGAGGTTTTTTAATCCCTTTGAGCCAAGGTATTTTTCCTCGTTAAATCCTTGTGCACTTTACTATTTCGCATTTCCCTGAACCCCACACTAGAACTGTGCGAAAATCTGTCACGGTTCCACACACACACAATTCACCTCCCCCCGCTTTTGTGTTGCTAACCGTTTCATCAATTACGATACTTGCTTACATGCTAATATCTTGTCAACGTGCCTAGATAGTTATAATATCATATTATGCGGCACAATTTAAGTGACTTTCTATGCATATTTGACACCCACTTATATTAGGAGAACTTTGTGAAAAGAATCCTTTTTGACCGTAGCATACTTATGATTGCTAAAACAATACATTGCTATATTTATATGTATCCGTAGCATGCTATAGTTGATAAATGAATCATCATTGATTTAAATATTAAATGAATATCTTTTAGAATGGATCTTGGAATAAGGAAATAGTCCGTAGCATATTTCAAATATGTTAAGATTGCTTGCTAATGCATGATTGCATGTTGACCGTGCATGTCTATATTACTTTTAAAGAGGCTCCTTGATTAATATATATATATGGTTTGGAAATAAGTGAAATAACTATCTTTCTTTATACGGATATTAATCCCTGGCTGCTTGCTTATACATGCTGAGCGAATATCTATATGTGCGAGATATGATCCGAGTCTATGACACTCAAGAAGGAAAGACATTCAAATAATAACAAGACAAGGATCACGATCATCTAAGGAAAGAATCATCAATGGACCTATTCTTCGAAGCCTATATATGTCGAGTTCAACAAAGAAGAATGTGTGCTTGACGAAGCGATCATAGAGAGAATACTTACAAAGAATTACCAAGTCCAAGACACCTGAACCTGCTCACGGAGTTCTAGATATAGTTTCCCTTCCCTTCTTTATCTTGTATTGAGTTTTGAGGAAAAGCTAAAGTGTAGCTTCCTCGGGTTGGGTTCTGTGAGTGAGAGCTTTGTTGTAAAGCTGAGAGGCTCTCTACCCGGAAGGTAGAGATGCATAACTCTTCCTAGAGAGGATAGAGTTGGGGTGGCTCAAGGGTAGATTAGGAGAATTTACCTTGTGACCACAAAAGACTTTTTAGTGAAGTTGTTTAAAATTCATCCGAGGGAGGTCGAGGTTTTTTAATTCTTTTGACCCAAGAGATTTTTCCTCGTTAAATTCTTGTGCACTTTACTATTTCGCATTTCCCTGAACCCCACACTAAAACTGTGCGAAAAATCGTCACGGTTCCACACACACAATTCATCCCCCTCTTGTGTTACTAACTGTTTCATCAATTTCATTTATTAATTCATTAATGATTTATTTTTTTAAAAAATATATTGTTAAATTTGTTTCATCCTCAATTTTCAATAAAAACTCAAATCCCTGAATTTATAAAGAAAACATTTGACAAAACGATAAAAAATGCATTATTGAAGCCACCGTACATACATGCTTCATCTATTAATTATGTGTAACTCATAGTATGATTCAGAATTATAGCACTTACACTTGTGCCATAAAAATTTAAGGCATCAGCAATAGTATACCCTGAAGTCTGAATTAATAAAAATAATACAAAATATGTTGAGAGTAAAAAAAAACTAATACTGTTTATCATATTCAACAGACAAATTGCACATACTTCATATTATCATATTCTACATTTGATCTTTGCTTGGTCTATAGGTTAGAGTTTCAATACCAAATTATAATATAAAGCAACAAACAGTAATACCGTATTCTAGCAAACAGCTTAAGTCTGACCTGCTATAATTCATGTTTAAAATAATGCACAAGTAAAATGTGCACTTTTATTGTTAAAATAGTGCATAGTTCAAATCACCTTTTACGGAGTATAATTTGTGATAGCTTGTTTACATTTTTGTTTTCGCATTATGCACAATAAGTCAATACCTAAATCAAACACTTCAAATTCATTCTCATTTTTCTCTTTAGATCATTTTTTCATTTGAATAGGATCGAAATGGGGTGAGATCATAAGCCTGTGAAGGAATATTTTTCATCAAATAATATCAGGTTTTTAAATACAGCACAAGAATTGAAATGGGTGAATCTAACAATTTAAACAACAACAATCCAACTACATGCATAGTGGACATGGATCTTAATTGAAACTAGGGGTGGACAAACGGTTACAGAAACTGCGGACCATACAGAGGCGGCTTGAGCATTTTGGAGGTCCCGGACGAAAAATATTTACTATGTACAAATCACTTTTAAAATCAGATAAATTGAATAAAAATCGCCTTATGAAAAAAAGCATATTCAAAGTCCACGATATAATGTTTGTAATATTCAAAAGGATAAATTTTAAAATGCAAACTTATTCAAAACACAAGGCAAACTTGTACTTGTAAAAGTATTAAGAGACTTCAAGAACGAGACTCAGAGAGAAGAGCTGAAGAGTCTTAGTTGATTCACTAACCAAGGACTCATGTCGACGGCGGGCAGTGAGGCATATATACAATAGCCGTTTAGCGGTCTGTGTTGGACGTTGATGCGTGTTGAGATCGGCTTTTGATATCTTTTTCCTAACTTTAAGGTGTCATAAGTCTCAATTTTAAGCTCAAGTCATATTTACCGACCGTTGGTTCGAGTTTTGGTATTTTTGGAGTCAAAATCAGGGAATTTGAGCCTGACACCACCGGTGTTTGAGAAGCAATAGGGACGAGTTGAGAAGCATTTTAGAGTTGATTAGGAGCATTGGAGATCAGTGAGGTGTTAAAGACAAAGTTTTGAAGACAAAAGAGTTCTAGAATTGGCTACGGGATCAAAAGAAGACGAATAGAGCTTGAAAACAACGGTCGGGATGACGTTCTGTCAATCGTTCAAGCATATCTTTTCTTAGGAACATCCAAAAAACATGATTGAAGTTTCATATGAAAGCCAACTTGAAGGGATACAAATCATATGAAGACACCATTGTGAGAATCTGAGAGAAGCAAGGTGAAAACAGATGATGAAGTCAGACAATCTCTGTTGAGATTTCAAAATGCGACCTTCCACCATTTTATTCATATATTTTTATTGGATGATTCAAATCCAGTTTTGCAAGTTGTGTTGGATAGAAGACTTCATTAGCTACAACTTTGATGAAGGACAGATAGTCAAAAATGAACTATAAAGCTGATTTCTGCTTGCAGTTGCCACTTGGTATATTGGCGGTCTGCGAATAACACCTAATACTAATAACGAAGTAGAATTTTTTAGAGGCCCCCTTGATAGTTGAGGCCCAAGGCAGTTGCCTGGCTCAACTGCCCTCAAAGTCGCCCCTGGGACCATACCAAATAATATAGGTTGAGAGTGGGTTAGAGTCGATTCCTAATTTTAGAAAACTCAAACGGACCGGGACATGTCTTAGAAATTGAGGAAGCAAACGGTTCTTATAATTTGAAAAAAAATAGTACGGTACCTAGACTGACCTATTCTGTAATATTATTTTAATAATTTCTATTACATTTAATATAATATATTAACAACATAAAACAACTCTTCATGTTCTTGTGTCTTAGACAAAAACTCTCAATTGAAGAAACATTTTAGTCTATTAAAAAGAGTTTAAAATTATGAACTACTCTCCCGGGTCCCAAATAAATTTATATTTTGACTTTATGGTTCTTAATTAAGAGAGGAATTTTTGTGTTTGACTTTCCCATCATATCCCTAAAAAGTAGATTAGATGTAGTGGGAGAGAGAAAGCGAGTGCAAAATAAGTAATAAAGTAAAAGTATAAGAACAATTTTATATTTAAAACTTACCAAAAATAGAAGCGTGTAGTTTATTTTGGATCTGGCCAGAAAAGAAAATTTCAAGTTTATTTGGGACTGGGAGTAGTATTAAATTATACTACGTATTATTATCCCCAATTATATATCTATTTCCATGCATCTGATTTCCTTTACGTAATCTTTTCTTGTAAACAAATATCATCTTAATGAAGTGTGAAATATTCATTTAATTATTTTAACAGTACTTACGTTTTGATATTTACTAAGCTTTTAGTTGTTCTTTAGACATATATGTATAGTGACTAGATTAATTTTTTACAACTTTGTGGTACTATATTTTAGTTTATGGGTGATGATGGGTCTAACTTTCTATATTTCAAATTTTGGTGCTATTTAATGCATGTTTGAAGTTGTGTGCTGTTTGATTTATAAATTTGTAGTTAAATATTTTGTTAGCAAATTTAAAAATATGTTTTATATTTTTATTTTGAGTTGTTATTGTATTATAGTGATATTGATACTTATTAAATTTGATAATGTTTTTACTTATTAGACACTTTGCTAGCATAGCTGTAATTTTTTTTATTACAAAAAAGGATTGAGAACCCGAATCGGACCGACTCATTTCAAACGGGACACGTAAGGTCTGGTTCCTATTTTGAAACTTAATATTCTTGGTCTGAACCAGCTACTTGTTAAATGGAACCGACGGTTTTTGAAACTTTATCATTTACCCGGACTGGCCTGGACCGTGCCCATCCCTAATTAAAGTTGTAGTTCATTTTCAGCATATACTTCCCCCGTTCTTAAATAAGTACAATCGTCCACTTTTCACATTTACCGATGCACAACTTTGATCATTAATATATATTATACAGAGTATTGTATTATTGAAAAAGCAGATTTTGAAAATTTATAATGAGACAAATTTAAAATTATCTTATAAAAGTAATTTACGACGGAGTAATACATTAATTAGTAAATCGTAGTCAAAGTAGAACATGTGAATAATGCAAAATTCAACATGTTGCATTTACTTAAGAGGAGAAATTATTTAGTATAAATAAATCGTAGTCAAAGTAGAACATTTGAATAATGCAAAATTGAATATGTAGCACTTACTTTTTTTGAAAACAAATAACTTAATTATTATTACTGAAGATGACAAGAAACATTACAATCATAAAGCTCACGGCTACAATGGGATGAGACATAGAAACGGACGATTCTAATCGAAAACGCCGAATCGCTAATCCAGCAAAGAAGTAGACTCTACCTGCAGATTGACTGCTCCTGCTACGATCACAATAATTATCAAAAGAACTCTTAAACATCCTGGTTTCTCCAGCCACCGGTAAGGAGATAATTGTAGAATTTGTTCTGGTTTCACCAGTCACCGAAAAGAAACCAACCCAAATGATCTCATCTTCATGGAACGGTGGTGGTTCTGGAGGGGGGCGATCCGTCTCAATATCGTCGTAGAAGAAAATCATGTTTTTGATTGATGAAGAGATCAGTGCAAATCTCTTCTTAGCACACAAGAACGCCCGACCAAAAGTGACGGGGAATATGGATCTAGCAGACGATATTTCGCTACCGAAAATAATATCTCCAAACAACGTTGGGAAATAAACACATGAATAAAACTGAAAACACTGATTAAGAAGATGTTTTTCTATTGTTGAAATCAAAGAAGATTGAAAGAAGAGAAGAAAAGAAGAGAAAGATGGTGAAGCTAGAGAAAGATGGTGAAGAAAAAGAGGAGACGGGACGCCTAGGGCTCCCATGCGATTGCACCTCCTCTCTCTACAATCTACGCTTATGTACTCGTCAAAACAAAAGTACGAAATATACATACATACATAGGACACGATACATTCTCCGGGTCAAAGCTATGAATCAACCTCGTGAAGAAAAAAACTACGCCGTACTAGGTACGTATGTAGTAGCTGGCGGGCTATATATACACTGCATGCAGCATGTAGATCGGTACGTACGTGGGTATTTAATCATGGGAAGTGATCGTCGATCATGCATTTAATACGTATGGATCGGATCAGAAGAGAAAACGAACGAAAGAAAGAACGGTGGTGAAGCTAGCGGAATTGATGAATGCATGATCCAGCTGCTATATGTGATCGAGCATGGAGAAGAGAGAGCAGAAATATTGCTCGTGACAGGGAATAGTGAGGCCCATCTCGTGGCTAAACCCGAACTCCTCCTCCGCTCGCCGCAGCAGCCTCTGAAACTCCGGCTGACTCAGCCACGATATGGGCACTATGTATCGCCGCCGCGTCTCCCCCACGTAAACCACGAAGTGCCCTTCTGGGACATCGTTCGGCGGCGGTGCGCCGCCACTCTCCTCCTCTTCTTCCTCGTACCCGCCGCCACCATACTGCTGCTGCTCCTGCTGTTGTTTTTTCCCGAAGCTCGAACACTTCTTCAGTATTTGCTTTATCGCCGCGGGTTGGGTCACGCCGCCGCTGCTTTTGCTTCCTTCGCCACCTTTCTTTAGCGCCATAGTATATATATTACTCGATCAATTCTTTCGAATGGGGACGCGCGGAAATATAATTAATTAGGGTTTCGAATAGAATTGATCGAAGTATCTGGCTATGCTATATACGTAGTATGTATGTATATAAATAGGTAGCGAGGAAACTATTTAATGGGTGAGATCGATAGATGGAGGAGAGGTATGAATGGGAACATCTATATATCTATCTGTACTATATATGTGTGTGGAAATGAGAGTTTAAAGGGCATGATATTATGCAATGCAGGGAAGAAGATCAGAGATGAGAAGAACATCGGCATGTGCAGTGTGGGGGCCGAAGCAGTAATGTTTTGGGGTTAGCTTAGTCATGGGAATATACATAAAGGCGCGGCCCCCCTACACTGTCACCTCTTCCAACGACACCTCCATGCTGGACCACTACTTCCTCCAATCTCTTCCTACATTTTTCTTTTGGGAAAGTTCCCAAAATAGGACTAAAACGGTTTGAAAATTCCAAAATAGGATGTCATGTTTTTTATTCCCAAAATAGGAGTAATTACTGCCAAATTTAGAGAATACTGCCATGTTTGAAGTCTGGTACTGCCAAAACATGACACTAATTAGTCCTATTTTGGGAATAAAAACATGGCAGTCCTATTTTGGAATTTTCAAACCTTTTTTGTCCTATTTCCGGTAATATTCTCTTTTCTTTTTTTGATTATTTTAATTTTCATTTTATAAATCGCAGTTTTTGTAAGGAATTTATTTAAATGCCTTAACAGTTAAATATTTAGTTGAAATTTGTTAGGGATAAACTAGATTTCACGAATAATATGTTCAAAAAAATTTCATAAAACATATTCCACCAGAAAGGGCTCCAAATGATCTCAGCCAGACGGTGATTCCAAACGCGTTTTAGAATATTCCACCAGAAAGGGCTCCAAATGAATCTCAGACCAACCTTATACGATCGATCTGCCGTATATATATATATATATATATATATATATATATATATATATATATATATATATATATATGGGATGGTTCAAATAAAAAGAGTTCTTCACATGCAAAGTGAGAATGAATCTTGTGCATTCATTTTCACATCTAATGGCTCAAAATGAGCAAAAAATGCATGAAATTCGACCAAAATCACGGTGGTAATTTCGTAAATAAACCACACTTTTTCGCCACCGTGAAAAAGTGAAGCAGAAAAATGAAAAACTGCAAGCGGAACATGAAAAAGTGCATATCTTCCCACCTTGCACGGGAAGAGGTCTTTTTAGTTGAACTCTTCCCTATATATATATATATATATATATATATATATATATATATATATATATATATATATATATATATATATATATATATATATATATATATATATATATATATACACACACACACACACACACACACATGCATATGACTTATTTGATCCTATGAAAAGGACACATCTATTAGATAGGACTCTACTAGTCCTATTAGAGGAATGAAGAAAAGAATGATGATTTTATGGGTATGTACATTTTATTTATATTTTAGTTCCATTTAAGGAATTCTCTCTATTTAATTTCTCCCGGGGCCTTGTAAATATGTATCGATCTAACAAGATACTTCCAACTCAAATAAATTTTCACTATTCAATTTTCGTTGTTGCACTTTTTTGAATATACCGCCATGTTCGTACGTAGTAGTACACATGTTTATAGGTTCCATGCTTAATATGCCATGCCATGACACTAAATGTAAAATAGAATCAGGATTCCTCTTTAAAAAAGGAATCTTCGTTGTGAAAGTAATTGTGTATACGGAGAAAATAATTTTTTTGATTACCTAATTAATTTTGACTGGACTAACTGGATGAGGTCCCAGCTAGGTCACAAAAAAGCTTGTTTGCCCGTATATATAGCTAGATGTAGTTTAACAATTATTGAAGTGTTAAGTTGTGTCAACACTTCGAATGATTCCAGCCAACATGTTCAGATGTATCTGTATTATATTAATTTCGTATGTTGTTACTAGATGTTCCCAACTTGGACAATATAATATTTTATTATCGTCTTATCACATTATATTAATATGTTCTCTCCCGCGTTGAACTGATTTATTTTTGTACGTTGTCATCTTAATCTCAGAGTGAAATCAATCCAATTAAGAATATTATATACAAAAAAGGTTGTCATGTGTGTCTTTACTATTCAAAAGTTTCAATTTATTATTATTTAACAGTATCAGTATTAATAGATTATATGAACTCAGATCCCATGACCCATACACTCACATAAGACAAACGTCACCGATCGGTTGGCCCTCTCGGCCAGCCGAGGCGGTCTATCCAAAATCAACTCATAAGCTTCAAGACCAGAAGACTGGAGCAAAGTGTTGCCCTCGTACTGGCCCCCTTACCAAGTACTCCCTCGGCCAAGGCTCCCCCTCGGCCAAATGCCCCATCACCAACCTCTTACTTCACACTTAGCCCAATGAATTCATGTAATCAGCCCATTAGTGGCTCACTATTGTATCAAGCCTCCCATGTCCAGAGCTTGGGAGCCCAATCTGCATTGTCTCTACACCCGGTCACTATTATATCAAGCCTCCCTTGGAGGTAGTTGTAGGCCTTGTTTGGTTCAAAGGAGTGGAGGGAAGGGGACACTACAAGAAAAAGTACAATGGGCAACAGAATAGTGCAACAAAAGGATTTTCGTTGCAATATTGCAATAAGATTTGCAATAGAATTTATAATCGTTGCAATTTTGCAATGAGTATTGCATTAGAAATAAAATCTGTTACAAAATTCACGAAAAACTTGAGGAAAAAATATAGCAACGGATTTTGCATTTGTAAAATAAATTCATTGCAATAATTGCATCTAAAATAGCAATGACTTTCTATTACGTTGCAAAATTATATATTTGCCACTGATTTGCAATGGAAACGCAATCCCTTGCAAATATTTATTTACAATGAGCACTTCGAGCAACAAAATTGCAACCAAATCCATTTGGTTGCAATTTTCCTTTTGAAACTTTTACTTCAAGTACAAAATAAATGCACCTCTGTTAATTTTAGAAAATATATAAATGGAAACTATTCGAATTGATCAATGTTTCAGAGATTATTTATGTACTGGTTTAATTAGTAGAATAGTTTTTAGTTTTAGAATATTTTTAATTGGACTGAAATTTTGTGGTCTAATTTGGTATGCTCTAGTACGACTTAGTTTGAACTGGTCTGATTTGGTCTGGTAAATGTCTGGTCTGGTCTGGTCTGAGACTAAAAACAGCTCAAGTAAAAACATGCTCAGGAAGTTTCCAATTAGACTGATTTTTTTAGCCTGATCTGATCAGATCAGGTCTGATAAATGCCTAGTGTTTGTGTACTTTATAATTGTTCCTTATTCAATATGGAGTATATCACTAACTTTATCTATCCTATGTTTTCATTGACTATTAAACAAACGATGAGAAGCCAAAATAACAAAAAGAAAATCTAAATAAACTAATTCAAAATTTCACCACGTACTAGTATAAAAAAAAGCAAAAGAAAAGCCCAAAGCAAAAAGAAACCAACGCAGGGAACATAAAAGAGAAACCTATATTATACTAGTATAACCTAAAAGAGAAAGATAAAAGGTAAACTATAAGCGGCTGCAGAGTCTTCTCCAAACCTTGAATATGCGCAGGGTCTTATCAAACACCGAAGGTTGCTCTTCCTAATCGCCGAACCACATCTTCTTGGAAGGAACAACATCCACACCATGCCTCTTCATCACAAAAGGTAAATTGTATCTTCTCTTTTTCTTCTTTTTGAGAAATGTCGTAAATCGAAATGGTAAAAAATAATCTTATCACGTTAAACCTAATTAAGGTGGGAAATGACTGTGAACAGAGAAATACCGATACCAAATGGCCAAACCCCTCTAGAAATCCTGCGGGCTATCTCATCCCTATCGCTATCTCAGTCGATACTCTGAACTCTCCCAATATCATGTTCCTTTTTTATCTATAATACGGGGGTTGTCAATTGGCTTAATGAATGAACCCGGACTACCAAACCCTAGTGCGAGAATTGGAAGCAACCAGGGGCGGACCCAGTATAGTCATGGCAAAAATATTTTTTGGGGGTTCACAATATTTTATTATTTTTCATATGTATATATATACACTAAAAAAATTTGGTTGGGGGTGGTAGCCCCTTGGGTCTCTACTACGGTCCGCCCTATCGCCAACTCTAAGCATATGCTAAATGACGGCCTCGCCAGAATTTCAAAGTTCACTCTGCCCTCAGTACTCGACCATTTTAGTTCGATGTTGAAACAGAGAGATGAGGTTAGGGGTTCTTGGGAGAATGGCGTCGTTTCTCCTCCGACCATTGATAAGGTTGTCAGGTTTTAGAATATTGTGTTGTTTGAATTTACATTCAATTCGAAGCATATCATTTGTATCCGACCATAATTAATGGGGAGCATAGACATCAGAGGGGACTTTTGGTCTCTAAAAAATTGATTAATGTATGCACTGATGGTGTTTGATGAAAAGCCTAAGAGGAGTACATGATAAAAAAATCACCATCTAGCATGTTTTGTTTGATAACTTATTTATTCTTGTATTTATATTTAAAATAAAACAATACTTGTTCATTATATACTCTAACGAATGTTATGACAAAAAAACTGAGCAACTCATATTGGTTAGATTTTATTATTTTTAACATATTGGCCTTATTAATCTATTGCAGGTTGCTAAAAATGGAGGAATTGCCGAGATATTGGTTAAGAAGAAAGAAATATTTCTATACTTGCATGGTATTTTGTACTGAAGTTTTCAAATGCATTTGTTTTACAATTATTTCATTCCAAATTGTATTTCACTTGTCGTTCCATTGAATATGAAGAGTTATCACATGTGTTGGTCATTTTACTATTCTTTCTTACTATGTATGCAAAAAAGTTAGATGACGTATATTTAAATTGTCCACGATTTTCTAGTATCAACCTCATAAACAGTGTTCTGAAAAACGCTTCTCAAAAGATTAGATCAACTGGAGCCAAGATGGGGGAAATTGTGAAAATTATCATTGGTGGACTGGAGGAGTCTAACCCTCAGTGCCATAACTGTTGAATTAGACAGGTATTTTATAGCGGTGCTCGTAAATATGTAGTTTAGTGATTGACTGACGACATCATATCTCAATATTCTTATGTTATGATAGAAAAAAATAAGTGATCATGTTGAATTGGGATGAAATTAAAATTTGTTTTCTTTGTATCGATATAAAGTTTGATTTATGAATGAAAGTTATCACAATTTCCTTGAGATCATCTTTTTTTTCAATTTCCAGTTTGATGTTCTTACGGACTAGAACTAAATTCTATTCATTTGCTAATCACATCTCTTTCATTTGTTACAGTTTTAGGATATTCAACATAAAGATACTGTGGAACTACTTCAACACTACATCATGTACCTGTTGTGATCTAAATTATTAGAAGTCAAGTTTGAAAGGTAGAAGCAGCTCAGAGACTGGAAGGAATATCAAGCACATGTTGAAGACCAAAATGAATGCTTTATCTATGCTTGCCTGCTCAGTGGAGCCAGATTTAAGCTATAGTCCGTGATTTTTTTAGTTTAGAGTTGTTTAACTTATATTATAATATTAAATTATGTTAAACTTCATTGTTTATTGAGTGAAGATCTTATTTTTTTTCAATTAAGCTATTATTAGTAGTAACTTATTAGTAGTAAAACCTTTTGCTTTTGATATATAGTGGTTAAGTGCATTACATAGAAAAACTATTAGTTTGGATTTGTTTATTATTCGTTTGGAGCCATTAATGTTGCAAAGAAAATTTATTTAAATATGGAAAATATATTTTGTATTGATGAAATATCGCAATAGTTTTTACGATGGACGCCATTGTAATTTGCAATGGCAATCAAGTGTAATTGTGATATAACCACCAATAACATTG